AAAAGGATTATATTGTGACAAAAAAAAAGAGGATTATATGATGTATCAACCTAAACTACGTTCGTTTCATCGTCTGTCTGGGTTAAATTATCATTGTATTTTGTTACAAGGTTAATGTGATGTATCAACCTAAACTGTACTTAACCCTGAGATTAAAGGAATAATATTCCTCAAGCGATAAGGTGTGAAGATCACGTTATATAACTATTGTACTACCATTCTAGACTGATCTTAGAGCTAACACTGTTATGCATCAACATATAATAGACTAAAGAGTGATGAATAACAAATATTTCTTTACAAAATCAATATAAAAAGCGAGATATTTATGTCTAGAAAGCATAGACAACTGATATTTGTTTCGATTTTATGAGTATTATTATTAGTCATATTGAAAACTTTTCTACTCATTGCATTTCATAATAATTTGACTAATTGGGCCGTTTGGTCTAATAAATAATTAATCTGAATCCAATCAGATCAGTAATTGGGTTTTACACAGTTAGCGATCCAATTCATAAAACTACGTCGTTTCTAAAAGGAGATAAACTACGTCGTTTCAGTGACATAACATCCCCCACTGGGTTTCTTATTTGCTGGATCTAAAATTCGGGTTGCAATTCAATTGGAAGAACCCTAAAGTTACAGCAATTTCCTTTCTCTTCTTCCCTCAAATTTGATCTGTTCTTGCTATTGAATTCGAATTCCGGTAATCTGAGTCTCGAAATTTGATCGAAGAACTTTCTCATGGCTCCGAAGAAGAAGCACTCTGAAGGAATCGCTTTATTGTCCGTTTACAGTGATGAAGACGACGAAGATATGGAAGATGCCGAGGAAGAAGAAGAAGAAGAGCAGAGAAATCATGAAGAAAGTGAACGAATTGAAGAGGATGATAAGCTAGAAGAAGCGAATTTCATGGATGAAGAAAGAGGAAGAGGAGAAGATTCTAAGGTCCTTGATGGTGGTGGAGCTTCTAGCGCTCATGCTACGCCTCGGTCACTCGATAACGACGAATCATCGAGACCTGATTGGGGAAATCGAATGATAGCTGAATCTGAGATTACGGATGGTGAGAGAGCTGATGATGCGTCAGGGGAATGTAGTGATACGTTATTGGATCAGTTTCTACCACCAAGACCTAGAGAAAAGTGTTCAGAGGAGTTGCAAGTAAGTTCCTTTTTGATGTCTCTCAGTGTTCTTAAACTTTGGTATTAGATCAAATGGGTTTATGGTGAATGTAGGCAAGACTCTATATTGTGTTGTTTTGGGTCTCTTTGGTACTTTCTAAGTGGGAATATCACTTTGTTGGATGTTATTGCAGAGGAAGATAGATAAGTTTCTGAGCTTGAAAAAGATGGGGAAGAGTTTCAATGCAGAAGTGAGGAATAGAAAAGAATATAGGAATCCAGACTTTTTGTTGCATGCTGTGAGTTATCAGGATATTGATCAGACTGGTTCTTGCTTTAGTAAAGATGTATTTGACCCCAATGGATATGACCCAAGTGACTTCTGTGATGCACTAGGTAACTCTACCTTTCTAATGGGTTCTTACATGTTCATTATGTCGTTAACGAATGAATCTAAGCTGCGTGTATATTTCTTTCGTTGTTCCTTTTCTTGAATGACTCTTATCTCTTTCTTTTTGATACTTTGTTTCAGTATCATGCACCCATATTTATACTTTTAGTATTTCACCATGGATGATTCTGGTTGCTAGTTACATTACCATATTCTGCGTTCTGCATATTTTATGATCTGTAGTGATCCTTTTTTTACATGTTAATTACAGAAGTTGACATGAAGCATGAGAGGGAAAGGAAGGAACAAGAAAGCAAGAAGAACCAAAAGCTTGACTTTGTTTCTGCTGGTGCTCAACCTGCGACGGTTTTTGCTGCTCCAAAGCCTAACATCCCCATCCCAGGTGTGTTTGAGTCCCAGAGAGTTAAAAACAAAAGGTGTCAGTTTGGCTCTTTTTATACATCTCAGCTACATCTCTACAAGATTTGATGGATTTTCAGAATTTGAAAAATCTTTCAGGTATTCCAGCTTTAGCTACTAGTGGATTGCCCGCCATACCAACCGAAATCGCTGCTCGTGATGGTAGACCGAACAAGAAATCCAAATGGGATAAGGTATTTTATCAGATTCATATGTCTAGAATGAGATTATTGGAGGATTCTGGCATGTTTAATTCTTTGCTGATTCTGTTTTGTGTGTTTTTGGTTAAATCAGGTTGATGGGGACGTGAAGAATCCACCTTTAGCAGCTGGGGCTCATGATTCCCTATCCTCAATCCGGTCTAATGCAGCTCTTGTATCTGCTGCAAGTGCTGGTTCTGGGTACTCAGCTTTCGCGTAAGTTGTATTTTCTATTGTTTGAGTCATAGAATTGTAGAATCTTGCGCTACTGCTTAGTCAATCAGTCATGAGAAAGTATCATTTGATTGTCCGGGTTTTGTAATGTCTATACTCTTTAGGAACGGTTCTTTTGTGGAACACTGAAATTTTCATTTTCCATGTTTGTTGCGTTAACGAATGATTATAAGTATGTGTTTTTTATCTGAACCAAGCAGGCAACGGAGGCGAGAGGTGGAAGGAAGAAGTTCTGCAGAGAGGAAACTGGAGAGAAGAAGCTGAATCAAAGCCACAACGATACTGTTCCATGTTGGAACTCATGTAGCAAGAGATTCTAAAGAAGGTGTAGTTAATGTTTCATAGCAATTACAAACTTAGAATCAATGATATACAGTGACTTGATTCTCTTTTTTGTACTAACGAATCATCGCAAAAAGTTTCAGACCGAAGAAAAGAACACTATTGTTTAAGTTTCAAGGATCAAAATTTACACATACATTCAGGACATTTCGGTTGTCTATAAATGCTACGTCCATATGGTCTAAGACGAAGCTTTTGACCTTCCTCTACCATTTTTCTCACTCGATCTTTGAAAATCTTCCACTTTATTGTTTCACTGTCTGATAAGATCGCTGCAAGCCTCTTCTTGTTAGGTCTCAATGTTGGCGCATGACCATTCCCGTAGTATGTTCTGAATCCAGACACTAAGGATGATAACTGACTCCCAGAATCAGTCATTGCAAACACATCCGAAGCTGCACAAGCTATGAAATCCAGTGCAGCTAACTACAAAACAGAGCCCCAAACATCGAAATGAAGTTTGAGTAAAAACAGAGAAAAACCTTTGAGGATGTACAGTTTTTTCTAATATGACAACAAAAAACTTTTTACCTGAGAAGAGAAGTTCTTGAATGGTGCAAGTTCTTGGGGTGTAAGGAGAGTTTCTTTGGTCACGAGATTAGGGTAAAGAGTTGTTAAAGGAAGCATACGAGAAGAGCCTCCATAAATTTGAGATCCAGCTAAGTATATATATGTTCCTCTTTTGAATCCAAGACCAGCAAGAACCAGAGTTGCTTCCTCTGGTGTTAATGGACATTTACCCGTTTTTCTCAACTCGTCCGGAGAAACAGACCTGCAAAACAAAAACAACATTTGATTTGTTATTAAGAACATTGAAGACGGAAAACGAGGAGTTTTCTTTATATCGTTTTTTACTTTGATTTCTTCAAACGTTCGAGGAGAAGAGGGAAATGATCTTCTCGGTACGCTTGAAGCTCTTTACGTTCGGTTTCTCCTCCTCCAAAATCACATAGAGAGTAAGCAACCATGTCCTCTTCAAACCTCAAATGTAAAGCAAGATACTTCAACGGTTCTTCTTCGCCTTTAACAGAAGATTTTTTCATGGATTCACCAAGCAATGCTTCATCCAATCTGCTATGCGATGTATCAAAACTTCTTATCCGTTTCACTAACAAAGATCCTGCTTCTTGGATCTTGGGCGCGAATTTCAGCGCGTGAAAGTTGCACTTGCAGCGTAATCTCTATAATTTTAACACAAAAACATATCATTTCCAAGAACCAAATTGAATACTCTAATTAATTATGCATCAGCTTATATGTTTGTACCTGAACATTAAAAGGCAAGGGATCAAAACCGAGGCGATTCCCGTATCCAAAAAGATGAACCATTCCATACTTCTTTAACAAAGGAAGAACATGTTCGATGTAATCACCTGGCTTTGCCTCTTTTACAATCTCTGCATCAGTAACCTATGGAGAAAGAAACAAAACATTATGATTTTTTCAACCGGGAAAAGAATGGAGAAAGAGAAATGTAAAACACATTAAACACACCAAGCTGAGATTCTTGTTATCAATAGATTTTAGATGTTGAGGAAGATCCTTTACTATATGGACCTCATCTTTCAGATACTCGATAAAACGATCTTCTTGGTATATATCACCAAATTGGCTGCAATTTACGCAATTTCACAGTATCAACAAAATATTTGTATAAGAATTTTAGAGTTTTGAGGACATTAAAATACCTAGGATCTTTCCATACATTGCTGTAAAGAAACCGAGGAATAACTAAAGTCGCATTAAGCAGAGCAGCAACCGCAACAGCGTTACAAATCTGCAATCACTATACGTATATATACATTCATACTTTCTTGATGAATTGTATATCTATTAATTAGTTTGGTATATACTTACCGCCACGCGCTGTTGATTAAGGCCACCATTTGCACTAACCATGATGTAACCATTGCTTAATTCTTTAGACTTCTCTAGTGTCACGGTTTCTTTGTTATTATCTGCACAAGGCTTCCACTGTGATGGCTTTGAAGATCTTTCCTCCCGGAAATTCGGTGTATCAGGCTTGAACTGGTTCTTGAAACACAACGGGGAATAAGATTATTAACGGTTCTTACAAGAAAACAAACCTTATCTTTTACATCTCCACTAACCTTTGCAAGAGAAATTGAAGCTAAGTTTAGAAGACGGCTATACATTTGCACTGGTGAAGCATCTTGAGTTTCATTCTTCGTTGACATACACGGAAATATGACAATAAGAAGCAATAATAGCAATGGAAGATGCATGAAGAATCATGAAAAAGATCCATTATTTTCAAACCTTATGCAGTGTAACATTACTCAGCCTTGAGACATCCTGCACCACGGCGCTACTATCTGAATGAAATATCGAAACCATGATTGTATCGAGAAAGCAAATGAAACCGGTCACCAAGATCATTAGAACAATCGACTTGAAGTTCCTACGAAGCCATGAATGTTGCTTCTTCAAGGAGTAACTAAACTTGTTACTACTTCCACAGCTTTGATCATGTTTAGATCCTTGAGCCTTTGAAACTTCACTTCCATTTATTCTTCTACCAATGAATAATACATCATTTCCAGATAAAGAATCCAAACTCCTCCTCCCAATTTTCTCTTCTTTATCTTTCGATTCGGGTCGAGGACTCCTCGGTGATCCTTGTTTCCCCATTAAAAACTATCTCTTCTCTCAGCTCATAAACTAAGTAGTAATTAACACAAACCTATTAGTAATTTCACCAATAAAATATGAAAATTGGTGGAAAAGAGTCTGGAGAAATTGGAACAGAACAAATGAATTCTAAGTGAAGCTAACAAAGTTGGTGAGGAATCTCTGAAAATATATTTTTCCCGGAAGAGTAAAACGCAAGGCAAGAAAAGGAAAAATTTCAATAAATAAATTCGGATTTATGAGAAGATAGCCACGACATAAACCTTAAAGAAGAAGATTGGGTAATGGAGATAGGTACATGTCAACAAATCGGACCAGAACAGAAAGCTTCTCTTCTTCTGCTTTCTCGTTCCTCGGTCGTTGCCGATCTCCATGACCGAATCTTCCTATCCCTAATATTTTTCCCTTTCTTTTTTTTTTTGTGTCTGAAACTTTCATACAAACACCTAAAATCAAAGAGATCTATCAAGAATCTCAAGAAAATAGCCCC